ACACATATGTACATGTACATGTACATGTAATATGCATATAGACATACATGTACAGTACATTGTTGCATACTAAAATCATGCTTGAAAGGAATATAATCTATTGCATAATGCACATACATGCATTCCTGTGTTAGCTTCAATTTGTCATCCTTTTCTTCCAAAAGGGACACCCATTCCTCCTCCTCCTCTCCCTCCTTCTCATTCATAAGGACACAACCAGTGGTATATGGTAACAGCATGTATGAGCCAGGATCAAGAGTAAGTTGACACACCCAAACCTAATATAAAATAATAATAATTAAATACCGTATTGCGGGGAATTTTGGAGGGACTAAAATTTGGCGAATTGCTAAATTTTGATGATTGGCGGATTTTAATTTGGCAAATTAGTGGCCATGTGCCATTGAGCATGCGTACAATGGCTCAAAATGGAGGATTTTTATTTCGGTGAATGGCTATCAAAATGCCAAATTCCCCAAATGTAACCCCCTCCAAAATTTCCCGCTATACGATAAATAAAAATAATAATAAGTAAAAATTGAATAGATACTGCATATTTTCAAATATACATAATTTTATAAGCTTTAGAAAAAATTAAATAAATAAAATAATACTTAAAATATTGCAGGTAATAAAAGCTGCTTAAATTTAAATTTACAATAATAAATACAAGTGTACAAAGTCATTTTAATTTCATGAAGTTTACTAACATTTCCTGAGATGCAGTGCTGAGTGTGTGCTATATATTGATCAGGCTCTTCATCACTAGTCATGTGAAACACATACAAACTAACATCAAGCTGAGGATTACCTATTGAAAATAGAAAGGGACATGAGTAATAATGATGATCCAGTATAAACTACTACCAAATGAAGGCTCATATCATTGTAGACACATGCAAATGTGCATACGTTATACATACTCTATACATTATACTTATTGGGGCAAGCAAAAGTGAGCCCCACATAGTCGAGTCAAGTATGTTTGTTTGTACACGTACGTCACCCCTATTTATGCGTTTATAAAAAAATAATAATCACACATTTTAAAATGATAATTTTGATAATTACAGTACCACGTGCAAAGACAACGAGTACGAGTAAAGCAGCATCTTAATCAGTGGAAGAGAGGAGTTAAAGAGTATTCAAGAAACAAGAGAAGCTGAAGCTTAAACATGACTAATTCACAGAAGATGCTTGTGAAGCTTGTCAACTTTTTTGTAACGAGCGTGATCGGGAGAGAAGGAGTGAGACTGAGGAGGAGAAAAGCTGGAGTGAGGAGGTCCAATAGAAATGCTAGAGATAGCCCAAAGACAACAAATGGAGTCTCTTTCTGACTTCTGAGACCAACCATCTTCTATGCTAGATCTAACTGCAGAGATTCTTAACTCATAAAGCTAGAACAAGCTATGAAATTCTTTCCATGGCAAATTCTGCATTAGTGTATTGACATCAACATTCAACATTTAATAGCCACTACATCATTGTTTATATAGACAGACATTGTATATTGCTAATCAAAATGTTAATCTTTTTGCTTGCCCCTTAATGTTTTACATTCGCCTAGTAAATTTTTATATTTTATACTATACATGCATACTGTATCCTGCTTATTACATACAGCATATGGCTAC